GGCTGGGGTCGCAAGGTTCCCTGAACTCCAGGAGTCAACACAAAACACACGGCAAGGCTGCATGTTCAGAGAAAACACTGGTCAATAATGAAAATCAAAGGTTTTGTTCATTTTGATTACATCAACGCCTGTGCCAAGGAAAAGTTCATGACAGAATTAAGTTAATTCCCAATAACCCTTCCTTCAAACTTTTACTCATCATTTTGGACTCGTTTGCCATTTGCATGAGTTAATGGTGAGGAATGAAAGTGCATTTCTTGCACTACTACCAATACAAAGACTAGCTTCTCACGGAGGATCGACACAGAAGTACTCACACCTTTGCACATTGACATTATTCTTGTACTTACTGGTCCATGGTGATAGGAGCAGAGTTCCGCTTGGAAAGCCGTAGGATCAAAGAACTGTAATGTTTAAAACAGAAATGATCAATTGAGTGAACCTCACCTCTCGCTTAAACACGTTGAGTCATAGATAAATCGCGCGGAGTGACTTTCTCCAGCAAGGCATATGCGGCCACCATGTGCCCACGTGTGACCCAACCTGTTAAGCTTTCTTTCAGAAACAATAAAGTTTTGATTCGAATTAATACTTACGATGTCACGTAGGTGGTGAGGTTAAGGGGGTAGGGCTCGAGCGCGGGCTTTCGGAGATCACTTCTTCCACCTTCCTCCACCGCAGCAACCCCGTTCCTTTCCGCCCCCCACCCGGCTGGCGATGACAGTTGCGGTTCGCTTCAGCGCCAGTTTTACGAAGGGTGGCTCCGGTAGGTCCACGGCTGACGACTCGCTGCTCGCTCATTTCTCTGCATTTCCTCGGCGCGCTTCAGAGGGGTCGTCGTCGCGGACCTTAAGCCCGGGTGCGTCATCGGCCACCAGACTGATTCGCAATGCACGGCACGATAAGGGAGCCTGTACCGCATGCACGCGTGCGAGCGGGATGCCTACTCCCCGGGGAGGCGATAGGGGCACCACCGCACGCTCCTGGGATCTATGCTGGTGGCCATTGGCTGCTCTTCTACACTCATTTTCTCTTGGTTACACCACTGGAAGGAGTGCTACCGAGTCGGGAAGGGGGGGGAGGGGGTGCTTATTTGTCTCGATCCACAGCGACCCTGCAAATTAAATTTCATGCCAAAAATTGGACGTATAATTGTGGAATTATCGGTATTTACTGCTGGTTGCGGTCTGCTTCCTGACAGCACTCTTTAAAGCTGATGCAGCCTTGGCCTTGGCAGAAGTGGTTGGTCCAGGTGTCCAGGTCACGGCGGCCCTGAGGATGGCGGTCCATGGAATTCCCTCGTCGTGCGTTTTAAAGCTGATGCTCGTCGCGCGCGTTTGAGGCCGATGCACAAAGGGAACGGCAGTTTGATGGACGAATCGAGCGAGTCACAACTTAAGCAGAAAGTCGAAAACTCGGGGGCCTTCTGGGCACTGCCAGGCGCTGGCCCGCTGCCTCTTTGTTCCCTCTCTGCAGAGTCGTGCAGCCGGTCGTATGGCGACGTGGATTTTATCTCTATTTCGTTTCAAAGTCTTATTTGTCTACGTTCGAATGATTATCGCGTCGTCCGCTGAAGAGCCTGGACGTTAAAGGGGTGTATCGTGGGCATCTTCTCCGGAGTCGTAGGTGAACGGGTACTTGGGCACCTCGTGGACGCGCCACGCCCCGCAAGGTGCTATTCCCCGAGGCCAAGGGGTGAGATGAGCGTCAGGAAGGCTCCGCTGTTCGCCGCCACGAGTGTACGTCGATTGCGGACATACGGTTACGGAGAAACGGTTGACTTGTGTGCGTGGAAGGGGAAATTGTCGATTACAGACACAATCGGTTTTGTTTCACACCGGGCCTTTCTCCGGTGTGGGTGCGGTGGTTCTTGTTCTTTTTGCACACGATGCACTCGTAAGGCTTCTCTCCCATGTGAGTTCGAAGATGTGATCGCAGGGTGACAGCGTTCAAACATTTCACGTCGCACTCCGTGCACTCGAACTTCCTCTCTCCCTCTCTCCCTCTCTCTCTGGTGTGGACCTGGACATGTGAGCGGAGGGGAGGGGGTCCTGAATCTCTTGGTGCACTCGGTGCACTCGAAGGGCTTCTCTCCTGTGTGGGTCCGCAGATGAGAACGCAAAGTTCCGCCCGTTGTAAATTTCTTATTGCACACACACACTGCACTCAAAAGCGCCCCCCCCCCTCCCCGTCCCCAGGGCGTAACTGGCACTTCAATTGTGCAATTTCTGCCATTTTCCTTTCGCACACAGTGCACTTGTGTGGCTTCTCTCCTGTGTGTGTCATCGCACCTTAGGTCTGCATACTCCTTGTCGCACATGGTGCAGTAGAAAAGTTTTTTCTTGCGTGTGGGTCCGCTCGTGACGATGAAGGAAACCTATATCCGCAAATTTCTTGCCGCACACTGAACACTCGAAGGGCTTCTAGCACCTAGGTCCACGCTTACGCGCCCGCCCGGCGATGTCCACAATCGACAATTTTCCTGTTCACCCCACAATCCCCCGTTTCTCCCCTCTATGTCCGCAGTAGACGGGACCCAGGGCTGAGTGCCTCAGGTATGTCCGAAATCGACGGGACCCCGCCGCGGCCCCAGCCAGTGCCAAGCAGTACGTGTGCGCTCCCCCAGGGCCACGCTCAGCACGCAGTGCGCCGTCCCTCATCCGTGCCCTGGTCGGGCACAAGCAGTGCGTGCAGCCGGCCGCGCGCCCGGTCACCAGAAGAGCACGGCGACGGACACAAAGGAGTACATGTTCCAGAGCGAAAGTGGCGTTCTTTTCAACGGTTGCTCGAATCAAGGGGGCATGAGCGATGTTCAGGATGGGCATCCAGGTAGGCGGCGACAGCCCACAACCAGTGCAAGAGGGAGCGACATCAATAGCGCCAGGGCGGGGCCAGGGTTGCCGCGGGTCGAACTCGCGGGGGAGGGGCGCGGCTCTCGTGGTCCGCGGGGCGCGTCCCACCAGCAGCCCCGGCAAAGCGAGCGGGACGCGTGGTCCGCAGGACGGAGGGAGTCGCACGCAAGGAGCGACCACTAGGCGTGCCGGATGGTGGTGGCCGGACCGTCCCTGGTGGCGTGCCTCCGCCTCTACCCTCGGCCCCGGCGGGGATGCCTGTCGGGCCTACAGAAAGGACGGGATGATCAGCAGGACGAGAGCGCGCATGACCAAGAGGCGGACACCGCGCTGCGCAGAGGAAACTCACGGCCGACCCGCAGGTAGTACAGAAGTGCCACGATCAGCCCACTGTGTCGGACGGCATCGTCACTGGCGTCCTGACTTCGCTCAAGTTCGAGCGAGACGTGGTCTGGCGTACATCTACCTAGTTCTTTTATTTTGACTTTTTTGGCTGAGCGATTAGCGAAGCCCATAACTCCACTGACCGGAAAAGTTTCATTCTGTTTGTCTGTTTGTCTGTTTGTTTGCATGTCTGTCCGCACGATAACTCGAGAGAGAATTGAGATAGCGACCTGGGATTTTCAGGGTCGTTTTGTATCATAAAAAGACAGATCGAGTTCGAAGATGAGCATTCTAGCTCAAAAATTGGCTTTTTAAAAAATCAAAAACTACAGGTCGGAATATGTATTTTTATCAAATATTTTTTGTATGGGTTCATAAGGGGTAACTCGTCAAAGTAGAGCCCTGTGGGCGAAAATTTCGTCCGTTTGGCTCTATTTTGTACCGTTTAGGTGCTAGGGGGCAATATTCTTGGCAAAAATGAGGTGAAAATGATCAAATGGTCTATTAAATCGTTCAAAAGACTTCATTTCGAAAAATTGTATATACACTCCTATTACCCCGTCTTGGGTGTCAGCGCCGCAGGCCTAGCTATATGTGCGCCAGGCGCGTCACAGCGTAACAGTGTTTCGTGAGATATCGCGAAGCCTGTTACGCGAGACGTGGTCTGGCGTACATATAGCTAGTAATATTTTTTGAAAAAGACAATTGGATTACCCGTTTACGGAAACATCTAGAGGTTATCCCTCCTAGAGGTCACCCCATATGACTGCGATATTTCTCATACTCAGTCAAGCCACTCTGCCCTAGCCTCACAGCCAGGCGTTTCCAGCTATCCATTTTCTCATTCTTTCGATTTCGAGTCTGGTTTTCCGATATCTCTACCCCAGTTGAGTCGTAATTACAAGTACAAGTACGGTGCAGTTGACGCGACTTTAATCCATCATCTTTTACACCGGCTACCAAGTGTTACGTCTCAGTTACGTTTATTGAATGAGGGATGAAGAGAAAGTTGCCTTTTTATGCACCAATGAAGATTCACTTGCCTACGCCCTAGAACTATTCACAACTCTGATCTCCCCACTCGCAGCAAAATAGTTGAATTTTTACTGCAAAAGCCACCAGGAATGTGACCATTGGGAGAATGGTAATAAGGATGCAATGTATTGATATGTAATCAATTCGTTTTCCCTCAAAAATGTGATGGTCAATTTGAAATACATGATGATACTGCATCTCGGAAGTTATTCTTATATAAAACTTGATTGAAATTGGAAGCCTAGGAAAGAAACGAACAGAATAGGGAAAAGAGACACTTATATAAAACTTGATTGAAATTGGAAGCGTAGGAAAGAAACGGACAGCATACGGAAAAGAGACACTTACACTACTTTTTAACATACTGTCATGTTTTAAAGGAAATAGAACAAATAATGTTTTCTTTTTCAAAATTTAGCTAAACTTCCAGTAGCAGAACAACATCTGTACCACACGGAATGAGAATGTGTTCGACACATTCGATCAGCAGACAGACTTGTGTCTACCAACATTTGCTCACTATACAAAACAGACCAATTTTAAACGGGGGATGAAAACAATTACCCCAGAAAAAATAGCAAGTATCGTTTTTGGAGATCACTTCACATTTCTCATGGTATATCTGAAGCTAATTGTGACGTGACAGGAAATACTAAATTTGTGTGATGGTTGGTATGGCCGTCTCTGCCTTCCACCCTCACCCTAGCACAGCTTTCCTTCCTTCGCGTCTGCGTCATCCCGGCAATTTTGCGCGAAGTATTCTATTTTAGTTTTGTATAGTAGAGGACTTAACACATTTCTACTTTTTAGGTTCAAGAGTGTCACTGATAATTAAAATATTCTTTGACTGGTCATATTACCAACTGAATTCTCGAAAGTAGGTGTAGGTAGTGTGGATACAGCTAACTATTTCAAACTTTTGCTGAAGCCTCTTTTCTTTGTTGTGGTTATGTCGATAAGGTGAAAGCTTTTGGAAGTTATTTCATCGACTTTTAACCTGCAGCTTCTAATATCGTGCAGTTTTCTAACCCCTGTAATTGCTTCACACTTACGCCTTGGATGAAGTAGGTTAACCCACTTTGTCCAAGCTTCAGGTGGTTGGTCGTTCTGTCCGGTTCTCTAACCTTTCTTTGTTGTTTTCAAAGGAGAATTCTTAGCCTTACCTACAAACCAAACTTTTACCTAGAATTAAAATTATCTCTTCATATATCTCCTATGATAGCTAACTGATATGCTTTTCTTTTCAGATAATTTTAATTTGATTGTCAGTTTCTGTGAAATAAACCACAGAATATTGTGTTCACCGTTTATTCATCGTTCAGAATTCCTTTTGGAAGATAGATACAGTATGGCGTTTGTTGTGTTACTGCAGTATGTTTGTTTGTGAGTATGGCAGTCTTTGTGATCACTATTTTCTTATACACTGTCATCGGATTCTTACTGATTTTCAATCATGCATATGGTGTTCAACCTACTTGTTATCAACTAGGTGCCAAGTGTTAGCACCTAGTAACTTGTCGATCAAAGAATCTAATTATTTCTTATCTTTTTGTAGGAAATGAATCGTTTGACCAACCACTGAGAATCAAGACTTGTTGGGCAAAGCCCACCCCTGACTTATTCATGGTAATTAATCACAGGAAGATGATTGTATTGAATTCTAATCGAATACTAACTACTTTTGGTTATCCTAAACTTGGTGAGTATCTAGAAGCCTGTTAGTTGCTAAAGGCCAAGATCTGCTTTTAGTAGATTTCGCAGTTTTACTTGTACTGATAGAAATAGGTCTGGTTTAAATCATTCTCATCATCGTAACATGACTTTTGGTCATTTTAGATTAAGGGTTTTCTATTCCCTCTATTGCTTTGGAAATCTGCTTTGTCATAAAAAATTCTCTCCCTCCTTTGTTTGAATAAGTAGTGTTCTTCTTGTTTTTAAAGCTAGCTCTCACTCTTTACAGGCAACCTTAACATTATTGTAGGTTTGTGAAACTTAAAATTTGTGGCTGCTTTCCAGAGCTGTATTAAGTTTTCCATTGAATGTGTGCTAAAATACAGTGGTACATGAAACCAATCCAAGTAAGTATTATTATCTTAGTTGAATGTTAGTCTGAGTGTGGTCATTATGCCCATTAAACATCTATTGTGGATCTAGGCTTCTGTACATTTGATGGTTTCTCTCCAAGTCTCATCAGTGAGTGAGGTACCTGCCAAAGACAGTGATTACACATCAACGGTGTCCCGTTGAAGCCCTGCCATCTTGATCATCACTTAACATGATAATGTAGGTTAGTAATGCAATAATGGCTGCGGTTTCATTTTCTTTTATACAATATATCCAGAGTTTTTCCAATAATTTATTTGTACCTTTGTAGGATAACTAGATGCTAACCCCTTTAAACTTTAAAGACTTGCTCCAACTGAGACGATAAATGATGGTAAGATGGAGTCAATGCAAATACGTCGCCCTTTCATGAAACTAGAAAATCATCTGAGATGTGGATTCACAATGCATTCAAATCTCTTGTTTAAGTTTTGGTGTTTCAATATAAGTCAACTGAAATAAAATGTCATCAATTTTTAATGTTGTTTTTTTGTTTCTTTTTTAGGACTCTGGTTTATTTGACATTTTGAGGCAAACGGCTCAACTACGTGAACAGAAAGTATGGGCTGAATTAATCGTCATGCTAGATGCTTGACTTCCATTATTGTAGAAGTCTATGATACATATTTGGTGTATTCGGTATCTTATGAGCCAATGCATTGCTTTACATATCATTGTTTTTTGCATGCGCATGAAACAAATATAAAATTTGCATATTATGATCGTAAAAGTATTATCACTAATTTGTACCTCAATAAGGTAGACAAGCTTGATTATAGAGAACAAGTAATGTTGCTAGAACTACTAAGCTTTCATAAAAATACATTGCTGTGGGACTTTAGAATGTGTTTCGAGGCTGTTTGTAACAAAGATGATTGATTTTGTATGCACCTAACACAATAAAATAAACATTTTTGATAACATGATTTTTCTTTGTTTGTCAAGTGTGTGTGTGTGCGTGTGTGTGTGTGTGCGTGTGTGTGTGTGTGTGTGCGCGCTCGTGTGTGTGTGTGTTTGTTTGTTTGTGTGTTTGTGTTCGGTTTGCGACAAGATATTTTTTCGGAGAGTGTCTATCCGCTTTCACATTGCCGTACCCACGACGGTGACAACCTCTTTGCGTTTTCTGTATGCAACAAAAAATTTGCCCAGAAAATGAGCGCAAGCCGGCACAGATTGTTCGCCTCGGCGCCCACAAACACATTTCCGCCCCGCGCCGGCGAAAAGCCCTTTGAGGGATTTATATGCAACAATAAATTTCCGGTGAGTTGAGATCAGCGAAAACATTTCAGCACCCACACCAGTGAAAAGCCTTTTGAATGCACGGCGTACCAAAATAAATTTTCGTCGAGAGGGCTCACGTGTTCATCTCCGCACGACACGGGTGAAAAACCACATGAGTGTTCTGTATGCAACAAGCAATTGCTGGGACCACGCTAGGAAAGAGGCTGGCTTATAGAAGCAGTTCTTAACTACTGCCTCCTCAGCTACCGCCGCAACTCATTGACTTGCTCGGGTCTCACCCACCCTGTCGCATGGTCCCTCGGAAGCAGGTAGGCGAGCCCCCGCTGCTGCAACACTAGCTCCGCCAGGCTCTTTCCTAGGCCGCACTATAGTAACCAGAAGCTATATTTATGTGTTCATCTTCGCGCCTTCGCCGGAGAGAAGCCCTTTGAGTGTTCGGTTTGCAGCAAGCAATTTTTTCTTTCCGGAAAGAGTCTTTTGTTTTTTCACATTTCCGTACCGACACCACTGAGTAGCCCCTTGTGAAATTTGTATGCAACAAGGATTTTTTCGGAGAGTGACTATTTGCTTTCACATTTCCGCACCCACACCGGTGAAAACCCATTATAGTTTTTCTGTATACAACAAGAAATTTTCACAGAAAATCAGCACAAACCGAGGGGTACCTCACTTTTTAAACGATTGGAAACGATTTAAATGATTGGAGGTATCGCTGGTGACTGGAACAACATTTTGTGCGTAGTCACCAGATCGGTGTTTTAGGCCGACCGCGCCAGACAGCCTCGACCTGCACAGACCGCAGCCGCTTGAGGTGTGGGAAACGGGGGTGCACGTTGGGGTGCCTACATTCGGGGCGGCGGCGGCGGCTCTCGGCACGTCACCACGCTCCGTCACTCCCACACTCATGTGCGCAACGCTCCGCCACGCCCAGAACGTCTCTCGTAGCTGCTTGTGCAGACCACTGCCAGTACAGTCACAGACCGCCCGAGCCTCACGGCATGTAGCGACTGTCGGCCTAAAATAGCGATTTTGCAGAGCTCACGTGTGAGTGTTCTGTGTTCAACAAGAAATTTCTGACCAGAAGTGTTCATCTTCGCACTTTCACCGGTGAGAAGCTTTTTTGAGTGTTCTTTTTGCAAGCCTTTTTTTTTCTTTCTTTCTGAGAAGGGTCTATCTGCGCCTTCCCCTCCGCACCCGCATCGGTATAAAGTCCATTGTGTGCGTCTCGAGGAGCATCGGTCCGCCGGTCGCTCGGGCCCGGACCTGCCCGAACATCTCGTTTCTCTCTCGCGCTCGGAGAAGCCGCTGCCGCCGGCTGTCAGTCGAGCGCCCGCCCCCACCCTCCCGCGCCCCCCGCGCGCTCTGCATCCCTGAGGCGCACTGTCTAGCAAAATTCTCACCGGCGAACATGTTAATGTTGTGGTTTGCGGCTCTCTTGGCGGCTACGCTCAGCACGGGGATTCCTACCACTGTTACCTGCGAGACCCGGGTGTTTGGTAAGTACGAATCATACGTCCCAGCATGCGAGTGTCCGTGTTCGTCCGTCCGTCCGTCCGTGTGTGTGTGTGTGTGTGTGTGTGTGTGTGTGTGTGTCGCTGTGCAGGAGCCTTGTACCGGCGCCGTCTGCCCCGCGGACGCTTTTGACCTTTGTTTACGACTCCGAACGAGACTACACCGATGAGGGGTTGCGGGGACGCGTGCGTGGGAAGGGCGAGAGAGAATTTAAAATTGGTTTAGAGAGAGAGAGAGAGAGAGAGACAGACAGACAGACAGACTTGCGCGCACACATTCATTTATCGGAACCCATTCTTTCTTCTTCTTCTTCAGGCGATGCGACGGTCGGCTGTATACCGGGCCTAGATGAGGACCAATTGGCCGTAGCGTATGCTACAGTGAACCCCAGCTTTCATCCCAAGGGTGTATGGTCCCTGAGCATCACGCTTCAGCGGCACCGCTCAGCAAGACGCGTACACGACTTCATCAACATCCTGGACAGCATCGCGCGCAGCAGGTGCCATGTGACGACCGCCTACTACAACGCAGAGTTTTGCGCCGACGTAAATGTGGCTCGCAACGTAACCAACGCAGCCTACGATGCCCTGTTCCCGGACGAGGACCTCGGTATCGTTACGCCCGCCAACACTTCGGTGTTCATCCCCGAGTATGTCAGCTTCCACGAAGTACGCGTGAACGAGTTGTGGTCGCAGCTGCACGATGGTGCTGGACAACCCGTTTTCGTCGATCGTGTAGTGCTACAGAAGCTGTCAGAACTGATTCGCGCGAAGGTGGCGCGTCTAAAACAGCTTGCTGACGACGATGCCAATATGTGGACTAAACTGCTTGTGTACTCTACTGCGCCCTCCAGTTCCGCTCTCGCATGCCCTGTGCTTGAAGATGCATACGCGCATGCTGCGTCAATGCTCCCTCCCGGTGTAACTTTCAACGGACCGCTCTCTTGTAGTGCATTGCCTCCGCTCGGCATACGCCGTAGCGTTAGGGAAGTTATTTTAACTATGTACTTAGACGTGGGCCTCGTCTGTAGCGACACCCTTGCATTTCCGGTGCCCATAATTTTTAACGAAACCCATCTTTTGACTCTGGTTGTACCGGATGGTGCTGTCCTGAGCTGCGCTGGTGAGCCCCCTGAGCGAACCGCCTCACTATGTGCCGAAGGGCTTTACCCGAGGGGGCCGCCACTCCCGGAATCATGTGTACACGGACCCTAAAATCCTTCTGAAATCATTTGAAATCCACCTGCAATCATTCGAAATCAGTGAAATCATTTGGAATCCTCGTAATCCACCGAAATCATACGAAATCCACCGAAATCCTCCAAAATCATGCGAAATCCTCTGAAATCATGCGAAATCCACCGAAATCATGTGAAATCCACCGAAATCATGTGAAATCCAATGCGGTCTCACCAGAAAACTGCTGCATTATTGCAAAATTTTACCGTTTGAGAGCAATCTGAGATATTGCTGCATGTATTCCACAGCCCAGGCAGCAAAGCCTGCAATTTTTTGCGCATTTCTGGAGCACTGATGCCTATGTTTACGTGATTGTGTAGAGTCAGCTGGATAGGGCCAGCAGGGCAGAGCTCGGAAAAATTCCTCGACCTTGACAGTTACATGTTAAAAAGAGTAGTCAGCTGCTCAGGTGTGCATTTTACAATTTTTCTTTGTAAAGACAGATCACAGCATTGAGCCCCTGTGACTCGTGAGATAGGCAATCCCGCCAAACAGTGATTGTTTGACGGGCTTGCCTACTTTACACTTCACAGGGGCCATCCCAGTTTCCCTGAAGATTGAATGCATGTTTTCTCATAGTATCAGTAAATGAGTATGAGTTAATTGGGAGGGGGCAGGGGGCAACTGCAGTAAAAGTGTTTAAAAGTGTAAATTTGTAAAGAAAAGGGCGTTGAATGTGACTGTAAGTAATTTACAGACTCCCATTGATATACAATTGTTGTTTTCTGCTTGAACAAATCCTAAACCCTTTTGAAGAAACATTAAACACTGAGTTTGCTGTAAATAAAATGTTTATTACAATTAGTCAAACAATATTAAACATCTGCTTTAGAAAGTGAGCAGATCTGCTAACAAATCTCAAGTCTTAAAAATGGTGACAAGAATGAAATTTAACTAGTAAACACCCAGTGAAAAACTAGTGGAAAACTGTGAGGTAACAGTCTCCAGCCTTCCTTAACTGTCAGTCATATGACAGGTGTATATCACAAATGAATACATTTACCTAAAATTGCACGGAATGAGATATGTATCTTGAATTTTCTTTATATGCAGGATTAGTAGCAAATAATATAGAAACATATTCTAGTTCTGTATCACTTTGCACCCATAAGTAATTAGTGCAATTTAAAATCAGGAACAAAAAGTTAGTCTCTAGAGCCTAAAGAATACAGTCTCAGATAAAAATTACAAATAATTATAATGACTAACAATTGCACATAAGATAACTATATCTTGATTTCTTTTAAAACTAAATATTAATAGTAACATGTAATGTAAAATATTCTAGTTCTTTATCACTTGTACATTAAGTCCAAACACTATGTACTTCAAATCAGGTAAAAAAACTAAACTACATAAAGACTAAAGAATACAGTCTCAGATTAATCACAAAGTAGATAAGAGTAAATAGTGAAATAATTACAAGTAGAAATCTTTTTGGAACTCCTTAGGACTAGTTACGATCAAGAAACTTCTTAATTTCTTTGAGAGGGCATGGTAGCAGTAGTACTTGGTTCTTGATAATTGGTCTAGGAATGGAGCAGATATAGTTTTCGATAGGGTAATAACCATGAACATCCATACTAACTCTTTGCAATTTACTATTTTTCCCAATGTGATACCAATCACAGAGACAACCAAGTCCTCGTTTTGTTTGTTCGTTGGTTGCTTTCACTGGAGCTGATGCTTTAGAATATTGCTGGTCTCGCCAAGTTGAACCAGAGAGATAGCTGAAAGCTAACACTCGCCAACAACAACTGAATTGTCTTCTGACAGAAAAGCGTACCAGCGGCCTTCAGAAATATTATCCTCTTTGAACGGTTGTTGCTTCTGAACATTTTTGTTGCTTTTATGGTGTACCTCCTCAGCTTGAACTCTCAAAAGACGGTCACTACTGATTCGAGTGTCACCACTACTCAGCAACCATATGAGTGATGACTTTTTTATCACACAACGTTCCCCGTTGCCATCAGAAACTGCGACAAAGGGGCTAGTTGGGCTAAGTGGTACATTCTCAAAACTTCTCATTCCCAGTGAACCGGTGCAACATACCAGTAAGTCTTCCTCTACATCATCTGTACTATTCTCATTGACTGCATCTTGAAATGTATTAAAATCAGTGAAATCTTCATGACCATCGACAGTTGTATGATCATCTATTTCAAAATCATTGTCATCTTCTGATATAATTTCTTCTGTTTCAGAGAAATCTGTCTGTAGAGGACAAACTGGAAACTTTGACTTTGGCTTTGCAATTTTAAATTTGACAGCTTCGACCAGTGCCTCTTGAAGTGAATTCTGAACTAATTCCTCTATCTCATAATCTTCAGGTAAGACCATTGAGATGTGTGGCTGTTGATCTTGATGCTCATACAACTTTTTCAAACGAGGAAATTCAAAGTCATTTTTGAGTCTTGAGAAACTTTGAGATAAGAAGTCAGTTCTTCTGGTCTTGTGTTGGAGATCAAGAATGCTGAAGGTCACCATTGTGCTCTGAGTTGGTGACATTGCTCGGCTTTTCCTGAAAAAGTCTTCACAATCTTGACTACTAAAAAGCCAGGGGAGGAAGAGTTCAGGTTCCTCCGAATCTCTGAACTTCCTTACCATTAAAATAAGAGCATGAGCATTTATTTCCATGCAGGTGAAGGAGTTGGCGGTGATAAAGTTGTGTTGGAGAGTGTACCCATCTGTCTCATCAATCCATTTCCGCCAATATCTAACAAAGAAGAGCCACTTAAACACTCGGGATATTCTTTGACAAGTGGCAAGGTCAACATCAAGGAAAGCCGAGCAGAACTCCCTCATCATGGTTAAGAATGTGATTGTAGCACTGCTGCCAGGGACGCACTCCAGTTCCTCACAAACTATAAGGTCGCAGAGTTTTTGTGCCGACCTGAAATTCATCTTGTCCTTCTGGGTGAGTAGAGATGCTGTTAGCTTGTGTTTTCCTTTGCTCGCATTCTCTATTAGGGCAGCAATATGTCCTCTTGACACTATATGGTGTTTGCCCATTGGCATGATATCTGAGACATGGAGAAATTTGCATTTTAGTTTAACTAGAAGATGAATTGTGTCTTGAACCATAATTTTTGCACTGAGGTCCAAGGAAGCTTGAAGCCATGGCCATTTCCTTGCAGGTTCGGGAGAAAAGGTCTTAATAACCATTGCTTTTAAATCTTTTGCGTCGCCATCTGCAGAATGAGCAACAATTTGAAAACCTTCTTTTGTTGCTTCTTTGTCCATCCACTCCCATCTTGACAATACATCAAGGTGGCTAAACCTGTTATCTGTTCCAAAAAGTCCCACACAGAAAGGAGTGGAGTCTGGAGATACCGGGCGAGCCATGACAACATAAGCATTTTTACTTACTATCCCATTTTGAAAGTAAGATTCGATTACTTTGCCAGAAGTTGCAGGGAAACTATTCGGAACAGGTACACCATTTTGAAGAGGAAGACAAAAGCCAACAACTTGATTGGTTTTTGGATCATACTGGATACGCCCAGTAACTACCGTGCCATCCTCTGATAAAATAACTTTGTTTGTCGGGTAACCTCTGTCAGTCATAATTCTCTTCAATTCTTTAAAGCGAAAAACACCTTCTTGAATGCTTTCATGTGCATAAAGAATTCTTGAACAAGTAGGAATTGCAGGCAGGAGGAGATTTCTGCTAAGTATTTCATACACTTGAGGCCCACCAAGTGTAAAAATAATCGTGCAAAATTCTTTTAGAGGATCAATATATCTCCAACCTTTACGTTTCCTCCCTGCATTGTTTTTAGCACACTCTAGTAGCATTGTCAGAAGATTGCTTCCATCTGGACAAAAATGTCCTGTAGTTTCAGGTATCCTTTTCAAAGCTCCAAGTAGCTGTTCTTTGAGCCTAGTATTTTCTGCTATCACTACTTGTAACTCATTCAATACAGGAAAATACTCCTTTATTGTGTGACATGAGACACTAGCTTCTCGGAGCTTTCCTTGGGTCCTACGTGTTCTGCTGTAGGGTGACCAGTCTCTTTGTTGCTTCCTTGACAGAGGAGGGCTGCTGGTGGGGTCCTCCTCTCTGAGTGAAAATCCTTCACAGTGTCAGGGCACATCCTTATTTCATTGAGATCAGAAGGAAATCTTCCTGGTCTAGATCTCCTATTAAGCAAACCCGCTTTAGGTGACTGTTCTCCATCATCTAGTCCAGTAGTACTTTTAGCCTGTAAAATAAATAAAAGATAATTTAGACTTATCATCAGTACATATACCTATTTTGCATACATAATGAGGTACAAAATAAGAGAAATTACAAAGAACTGTGGAGGACAACCTACAATATTTGTATCAGGCTTCTAAAAATTTCATTATAGACATTTTAAAAAAATGTTTTTATAAAATGGGACTAGAGTTTCAACATTTGCAGGTTATTCCCCAAAGATAGAAAAAAGAGCAGATTGGTGCTGTTTTCTATTTTACAAAATCCCAAGTTTACTCATGCTAATAATTATTTGTTTGAGAAATAATTATGTTTCTCCCTACCTCTGGATCACTATCATGAGTTGAATCATGAACTAGGGCTGTGTGGGTCAGAGAACTAGGAGGAAGGCTACAATTGCTCTCAATGGCCTCCGCTACACTCACTGCACCAACTTTTTGAAAAATATCAGTCAATTTTTTGTAGGAGGCTTGTTGTTGTTTTTGTTTGATAGGTTTCAATATGTGTTCACTATTGATATGCCTATACAAGTTGCCATTAGACCATCTGCCTCCTGAATGATAGTAGGAATAATAAAATGCTAAAATGAACTCATTGTGCCAAGAAACTAAGGGTATGTTTAAGTTCTATACTCTACAAACCTGTGTGCTGAAGGGTGTATTTTTTTCTGCAAGACTTGACAGGGCATTCAATTTCACCAGACATTCCCCCGTCTCCTTTTGCAACAGTAATGTTGAAGTCTGGATTGGTATCAAAATCATCTGCATCGTCATCTAATATATCAGGAGCATTGCTCTTGAGCCATCTGCTGACATTGCGAGCAATATCATCACGGAATTCAACTAGAGTTTCAGCTGGTTGAAGTGAAGCGTTTTCTGAAGTGTTATCTATTGAAACATAATAAAATATGTAAACAGATAAAAATCAACAACAACAATACTATACAACTGCGCTCCCACTCACTGACTCATTGATATAAATGTTTGCCAACAACCAAAACTGCCATGTAAACCTACTATACCTTTTTGGATCCGCGATACCCCATTTGACCCCAGAAAAACCTCCACCTCCATCGTGGGACCTCACTGGGGGCCGTAAAAAGGCCATGTACAAATAGGTTGCGTGGGAGAAAAAAAACAAGTCCAAAAAAGTCGCCATTTTTTTATGGTCTCCTAGGGGGTAACTCGTCATTTTGGCACCTAAGGTGAAAATTTCGTCCGCGGGGCTCT